ACTTGTACATTTAACCCTCTGAAATTACTTATTTACCTTATTATAAATTGAAACCTATTATATTTTATTGAAATTATAAATTGAAATCACATTAACCATTTATATTTAGTTAAAACTCCACGACTTAAATCACTACAACGCATTTTCCTGTATTATAAAATAAGTAATTATAAATAATAATATAATTTATATTCTAACACATTTGTGTAATACAGTATTATTTACTGTTTATTATTATATTATTATATATATAATATTTCAACCATATAATATATTTCAACATTACAATTATAATCAACAGTATTTATAGATTTATTCGTAGAAAATACAATTTGATGGTAAAATGACTAGTTAGTTATTATCCAGTATACAACAGATTTAATTTTCTATTGATAATGTTTTACTTCAAATGCTTACAGAAATAGTAAAGAACAAAAAAATTAAAATATTATATTCATTAAATTTTAGTTGAACCAATTTATATAAAAACAAAAATTAAGTTAGTGAGTTTTCAAATAAAAATAAAAAACCCAAACGGAACAAAAAAAAAAATTCTTTACCATGTCTTAACCAGACAACATTGCGTTTCATATAACATGTAAAATGTTGATGAGATTACCTCTTTTAACTGTGAATTCATTTCAAATGTTTAATTTATATAGTACAATTAAATATATCTGAGTAGGAATACTGTGACATCATAGTTTTTATAATATGTTTAAATCTATTAGAAGTTTTTAATGATAATTTTTCGCAAGTAATGTATTATTTTTAAGACAATGATTTGGTAAATTTTTTTCGATTTAATTATATTTTCATAGTCATTTTGCTAAAATCTCCATGAATTTAAATATATAATTCAAATTCAATAACATTTATCCCATTTATTATTTTACCTGTAAATAGTTACAATTCTTGGTCAAATTCTGTAAACTTCGTGAAAACATAACATAAATGTTTTGATACTATGTATTATGCCAAGACACACGCGTATCATTAGAACCTGTATATATTACAGGCCAAATAATATTCGTTGTTTCATAATCCATCATATCAGTATACATTTTATAAAAATCAAATTTCAAGATAAAACATTTTGTTTAATTGAATTTTCTATAACTATACCTTAAAAAAGGATATTAATAGTGGCGTATTTTCAAGGGAGAGGGGAGGATTCTCGAATCTCGACCGTCCTTAAAAATAAAAAAAGGTTCAAGTCATAAATGACTTGTTACGAAGGTACAAATAAAGAGAACATAAGTTTATATAATGTGGTTATGAACAATTCTTCATTTGTGTGTATAATAATAATAGAATTATATAATTAATTATTAATTAATAATTATCAATTCACATCTTATATGTAATTTTTTATAATATCATAAAATCACTAATTGTTTATAAAAATATTAAACCTTCCCTTCTACAAAAAATGTAAAAATATGGCACTGTATATTAATAATTGCTTTTATCGAGTAATAAATGAAATAACAAACTATAAATAATAAAAATAATTCTACTTATTTAATAATAATATATTATAAGTAAATTATGTTTTAAATACTTATATTTCATTATAAATATAAAATGTATTTATATTGTAATATAAATCTGCAAAATGATTTTACTCTGAATTTTAATTTGATACTAGAGTAATTTTCTGTTATATAACTTAATAAACGCGGATCGTCTGTTTCTTTAAAGGGTTTAATATTAATAATAATAATAATAAATTGACTAGACTTTTTTTTCGGTTGAAAATTGAAACTTTGTGATACCTAAAACATGTCATAATATATTATAAAATTCATACTGCTTCAAATTTAAAATATTTTAATTTTTAACCTATAATCTATTCGTTATTAAACTTATACCTTGGCTAAGACATAGAAGTTAAAACAATTATTTGTAAAAATATTAAAGACAATTTAAAAGCAGGAATAGACTTTATAACCTTTTTTTTTTCAAATCACATGTTTACAATATTTTTTTCTGCTATGTGTAATTTATTAAATTGTAATTAACATTATCTAAAAAATTGTAAAGGTTGTCTTTATTTGAATATGACGTTAAAAATATAAAAATAAAAACTCTGAAACTTTGGCTGTATAAACATACATATTTAAAGGATTAGAAACTATTAATTATTTTCTAATTGAATATTATAATAATATTTTAAAAAAAATGAATAAATTTAATAGTTTTCTGAAATAAAAAAAGTAATATAAGAAAGATGCTATTTTATTTTTTTGTTTTTATTTTTATTACTGTGCATTTAAATATAATGAAATCGATCTTCAATATATATTTAATCTTTTATAGACTGATTATCACTAAAGCATAGGAATCTATTGATGTTGACATTTTGTGTGCTTTTTTCCTTTAACTCTTTTTTAAATTTTTAAAAATAATAATTTCATATAACTAAAAAAAATATTGGAAATTAAACTTGGATTGTAAAATGTTGACTATGATTTATTTTTAAAATGAATAATTAATTTTGATGCATACAATAATTAATACTTACAATTAGGGTGAAACAATATAAATGCTATTATGTTAATAAGCCATGATGATATATAAATAATTTAATTTTTAAAAACATTTTAAAAAACTGTAAAAAAAGTATACCAAATCGTATTTATTGACCACTGAGCTAAATCTATCAAATTTTTTACATTTATCAAATGAAATACAAAACGAAAATATAATACTAAAAAAAGTCTTTTACTTTGTGTGAAACTGTTTCTTTTTGCTTTAAAGAATATTTTGGTTATATTCGTTAAATTAAAATGTCATTCTATGAATATTTAAATTATAGCATTTAACAAAATATGTCATTTTGATAAGTTTCCATTTAAAATCTATTAAATTATTATAAGTATGTAATTTTAAAATAAGTTGTTCATCTTTATACTGAATTTGAATTTATTTTGCCATTGTTTAATCAGGAAATTTGAATTTATTTATATTATAATATTGCACTTAGCAACTATTATTATCAAGAATTTGAAACACTTAAAATTGGTATGTTTTTAGTTTGGATCAGAAAGATAAATGTAAACGTACATATTCCATTGTTATATCTTAAAATATAGGTAAATCTAAATCAGTTATTGGTGAAACCATTACAATCATATCTGTTTATAATATTTATTTCTGCACATTATACCTATATCAAAATTTAACAATATAATAATTATATTATAATAATATATTATAATATTATAATAATAATTATAATATTGCCTATAATTAATTAATATGTATCTTAAATTAATGGATAATGTATTGTTATTTCGCACTGAATTAAACAAATTTACATGAGTTTTATAGTAAAGGAGAAACTATATATCTACTTTTATAAAGACATTTTATTTAAAAAAAAATTATCAGCTCTTTTGAGTTTACTATTTTATTATAATAATAATAACTAAAATATTAAATAACTTATTATGCAAGTTAATTAATTGAAAATATAAAGAAATTTATAAAAAATAGTATATAAATACTGCAATCATTTTTATCAAATAAAATTTGGCTATTAATAATAAATCGTAACCTGATTGAAGTTATCGATTATTTTTTACATGACATCTGAGGTATAACGAAAAGTATCATTGGACACCGTTTATAGTCCATTATATACCCATGTCACTAGCGTTTCATACATTTAAAAATAATTAATAAAAAAAACAATTAAACAATATACTTGCATCATTAATAATATGTATATCTTTTTCTGATTGTAAAAATTTTTGTTCAAATATGAATGTCAGAAATAAAATATTTGGTCTAATTATTTATTGAACATTTTTTTTACATTATATTTATTATTGAAATATTTAAAAAATATATGAATTATGTATATAAAATAAATATAAAGAAAACCCGGAAATAATTTATATTCTTTCTTCGGGCAATTTTTCAATTTAATTGAATAATTCTATTTAAACTATTAGTAATATATAAACTAAAAATGGATTTGTTTGTTGTATAGCTTAAGTAATATTTAAATTTGTTATTCATAGATTTATAATAAAGCATTCGATGACGTTATGTAACTCAAAATAAAACAACATTAAAAATTTTAAAAATAAATAATTTTACTGGTAAATTTTATTACTGATTTTTTTTTTCGCTTTCGAACTACTAATTTTAATAATTTTTTAAATTTTAACCAAACAATATTTTCGTTTATTATAAATAATTATATTACACTGTTGTGAATGATAACACTAAAAAAAAAAATTCAATTATGTATAACTGCATTTTTCAATGTATGTCTAAGGTTTATACATGCAAAAATATACTATTTTTTTTTTTGTTTATTCTTCGTCGAGATTCACAAAATAGTTCACTTTAATAAAATACCATATTTAATAAAAACAAATGAAATAATTACAATAAGATCTAAGTCTAATACTAAAACATCTACGCACATTAACACTAAATAGGTTTGAGATTGATTTTACGAAGTGGCTTCTTTATAAATTTAACACCTAGTTATTATTATAAAATAACTATACTATTATTTTTGTTGAATTTATATTATTATACAATTTATATTTTTCTTAATATTATATAATTAATAATTTTTAAACCCGATACAAATGTGTTATTAATAATTATACTTATGTACACATAATAACTTCTAGGTCTCTACACAAGAATACCCTCACTGAGTATTATTAATACACCCAGTATTCTTTTCTTGAGAAATAAATGAATTATATTAATAACAATAATACAATTAATGAAATATAAATATTTTATATGCATTACTGTAATGAAAAAAAAAAATTATAAAAATTAAGTACCATTAAATTTAATTATTAAATTAATTTTTATATAATCTGGATTAATATACCTAAAATATAGACATTTTCATCTTTGAAAGTCTCATATCTGTCATATATTAAAATGCTACTAACTCATTTCATATTTCGAGTTACTTATACATGTATTTTAAACGAAAAATATTTTTTTTATTCTTCCAGAATGGCGGTGCTCTGGATGGTTTCGACATGAATATGGGTCCAGCTTGGCAAAAAGGGTATACTGGCAAAAACGTTGTCGTCTCAATACTTGACGACGGTATACAAACCAATCATCCCGATTTGGCACATAATTACGTAAGCAAACACTATAATAATAAAAGTAACATACATGTTCGTATTTTCCCTTCTCCCTTTCTTTTCAGCCTTTTTCCAATCCTCGTACAATTTCGAACACGTCGCATTTTCCATCCTGTAATGAAGGTGTGCATTTCGTTTCCCGTCCAAACCACTATATGACGCGGAATCGTATTAGTATCCGATTTTCACCATGCAAACAAATTGCTTTCTTCTCCCTCTCTTGTCACACACCAAAACATCGACGGTTCGCATTGTATAAACTGGGATTTTAGCGTTTTCGGACCCATTTGACGATTTCATATTCAGTATTCGAAGAAATGTGCTGTAGTGCGTACCGTTTTTTTTGACAACGAGAAAAATGAGGACTTGTGTAGAAAGGTCTGATGGTGGTTAGGTGGGATAAAAGGAAGCAAGGAATAGTGTAAAACGAAATACGATTTGTAACTTGTGTAGTTTCCACCTCTCCTTCCTGACACATAATCATCTCGCCTCCGATTCGATATCGCTCGCTCCCTTCCCATTGAACTAACCGTGTCATGAATTTGTTGACTCAATAAAGTAGTCTCGAAAATATTCAATGTGAGCATAAGTGTTCCGGGAATTAATGCCGGGAATGTGGCATTGCTGTATCGATTGCTTTTAGTTATTTATCGTCTTCCACATTATTATTAAATTGCTATTTTTTTTTAAAAAAAATGTTTATAACATTAATATTGTGTTATTGCATTGACTAAATTTCATCCATTCCACCATTAATTATACGTTACACGAATAGATACACGTGGAGAACTATTTATAACCACACTCGTTACTGAGTTACAAGTACACAAATTTAACGTGTTAAAAAATTTTCTTCTATTTTCCTATGTTTTTAGGTAGAAACTGTAACAATATTATGTATGTAAATGAAGAACGACCGATACAATTTCACGATTTCAACTTATATCATTTAATTAATCATTTATTTTTCTGTTTATAATGTGAACATATTTTTTATATATGATGTCCTTGAATAATCACATGCACATTATATCATTACCATTTATTCATTTTAACTGATGTTTTTAAATGTGTGCGGTAAAATGGATTTATATTTTGTATATTTCGTTCAGAATGTGCACACGTGCAAAGTAGGTTTATGTTGGTATTAAAATATACTGTGTAGTCTAAGTAAAATCTCCATACAATTTTGCATGTATGTTGAACTGTGCTAAAGTTTAGCCACCTTAAAAGCTTTGGGCGTTCCAAAGATTTTCACAAAGTCGTTCCTCATAGCTATGGAGTGCGAATGACGCATTTGTTAAGGTTAATATGCAAGCTGTTTAATAAAACTTTGATCATGGAATTTGGCAAAACTACTAGTGATCATCTCGTGTACTCGTATAATATTTACTTATATATTATACTAAACAATATTTTAATCGTACAACTAACGCAATGCGCAAGTATAATACATATGCATAATTGATATTCAATTGTTACGTTTGATCGCATTGTGATATAAAAAAAATCAACAAATTCCATATATAAATAAACTTACCTTTTTTCGCATTGAGTTCTCGTATTAGTATTATTATACAATTATTAACAATATTATTATAATAGGTAAAATAATATATTCAATAGGTACCTATTATAAATGAATTGGATTTTAAGTACGATTTTACATTTAAAACATATTTAATTTGTTTATGCAGGACCCTAGTGCTAGCACAGACATAAACGACAATGATGATGACCCTATGCCTCGGGACAATGGTGACAATAAACACGGTACGAGGTGCGCCGGTGAAGTAGCGGCTATTGCATTTAACCAATATTGCGGCATTGGTGTGGCCTACAATGCCAGTATTGGAGGTACAGTATCTAACCATAGTTAAATGATAAGTGTGTAGATGGAAATATCGTTACATGTATAAAAAAATATATAGAGATTAAACTCTCAATAATTTTACTTAACCTAGAATAAATTATCGAATTCCATTACTAAAAATCGTCTTTCATATTCTATTTATATGTTGTATTAGGTACTTAAAATATAAAAAGCATTTAAACAATATTATCAAATTAAAAATATTTAATTTTTGTTTAAAATACCTACCTATTGTAATTGTAAATTATTTTATATTTTAATTATTAAATGTATATTGTTTCGTGCAATACCTGTTTATACATTAATAGCGTCTAAAATACAACCTTAAAGTTATTAATTTTAAATATTTATAACACGTATGGTATTAATTAAAAATGTTATACTTATAAATAAAAATAAACAAGTTATATCTTCAAAAATACTTAAATCGCACTTAAAAAACTTTTTTTTTTTTAATCAAGTTTATTTATTTCAAACTCAGAAATATTTAAAATTGAGAATAAACGTTCACTAATAACTATTGTTGCTATAAACCTGGTTGATCTACTATCAGCCAGTTTTGTGTAATGAAATCGTTAGTTGTATATAATTTTTCCATGGTAATCAGTTAAAATCGAAAATATTTGCCTACTCACATATGTTATGGATGTTTAACATATGATTTATTTTTTTTAAAAATATGGGACATTTTAAATCAAACCAATTTTTGAAATTCTCATTTGTATTGATTGGAGAGGGGGTGAAGGGACTTATGTTAGCAATTTTCCTCACAGTTACTGTATTATACTATAAAATAAAGTTGAACACTATATTTGATACTTCAAAAAAGTATAAATTATAATTAAAATTAAAAACTTATAATTAGGTGACTTTACTATTTTTTTTATAATCAAATATTATTAATTATCATTTGATTTAGATATTTTAGTTTATTAATTATATAAAATTTTAAAAGCTTACCGATATTAAAAATTTAATTTTTAAAATAAGGTACATACAAAATAAACTATACAAAATACGAGACAAAAGTGTTATTTTTATACTTGTATCGGGACACCGGGACACTGTATTCAAATACGAGACGTATGGAATCCCTAGTTTAACAAAACTTCATAAGATTCACTCTTATAAAAATTTACCTAGTATTCAAAACTTATAAATTCAAAGAAAACTTATGATATTTTATACATTAAACATAAAAACTACTTTAAATATCAAGGGGATGTAGTTTAATCTAAAACAAATGTTCACTTAAACATTTTGCTCAGGAGTGAGAATGTTGGATGGTACAGTGAATGACGCAGTTGAAGCAAGAGCCTTGGGCTTAAACATCAATCATATTGATATCTACAGTGCTTCTTGGGGTCCAGAAGATGATGGTAAGACTGTAGATGGACCCGGACCACTGGCCAGAAGAGCGTTTATTTACGGAGTAACTTCGGTAAGTTAAAATATTCATTCTTAAATAGGATTATTTTTTTTCGGCATTTTAAAATTAGTCTACTATTTTTATAAACATTTTTTATCAATAATGGTTTAAAATTAATCACAGTTTAGTGTAGCTTAATATTACAAAAAATATATGCTAATAATTGATCAAAATTTTTGGTATATGATGTATTCATTTACTTGTTTGAACAGGGATATAAAATAATGAAATTAATAGTATATCAATTTGGCATCAATTCTTCTTCTTCATTTTCGGTAATCTCAACCACTAGGACCATCCCGATATACATCCTTAATTTGGCATCAACAATAATAATTTTGTATATGCAAATATGAAATGACATATCTCATAACACTAACCTGTTAATTAAATAAGTTTCAAATATGTATATTTTTACAGCACTCATTAAAATATTAAATTTCTTAAACAACTGATCAAGTTTTTAGATTTTGTTTTAATAAATCAATTTATTGTAACATAAATAAAATTCATGTATTTTATTTTACTGTTGTATCAATGATACAATGATAATTTTTAGTATTATTTTATAATTTATTTACTATAATTACATAGTTTTAGTGATAATCAATCAGATTGGTTATAGATACTAAATAATTATTTATAATCATGTAAGAGTTTTTTTCAACACCAAAATTAATTTCTCCCGACCTACAGAAATGCACTCTTAAATAAGTATATATGAGTACTATTTGATATAATTAAAACCCATTGTTAAATAAACTCTTCTGCCATATAATATTATATATATAAAAAAAAAAAATGCTATTTATTTTTATGATTTGCTTTTTACTTGATGTTTATTTTAAATTTTATAAATATTTGGAGGTGTTATGTAAAACCTATGGATAATCAAATTATTTAATTACTTTCTCGTTATTTTGGGTTTCAATTCATACCTTATACTATATTACCTTTACATAAGTCCAATTTTTCAAATCAAACATTTTTATTTAAAATGTATTTTCAAAATTAAAAATTTAAATAAATTTGTTAAACTAAATGAAAATATATTCTCAAAAAACACTATTAAAATCCACCAATTGATAAATAATTTGTACTACACATTTATTAAATTTAATAATTTATTTCTCTTAAATCAAATTGAAAGTAAACATATTATGTAGTACATTTTAATGACAATATTACTAAGAAGATACTATTATTTTAGTATGATCATATGCAAATGTCTTTTTATTCAAATACTTAGATTGTTTATGTGATGATAATAGAAAACTAATACTTTAGGTATGATTAAATGAAAATAATATACTACATATATGTTAAGTATTAAGAACAACGAAAATATTTTCGTATGACATATTAATTACATGTAAATTGTAAATTATGAAAAAAATATTTTTTACCTCGTTTGTCTGATGAAAACTAGTACATTGATTTAACTAGGATAAATAAAATAAGTAGTATAATGTGTACCCTCGTTTCGCATCGATTATTACAGTTTCTATAAGTGATGTGTTATTACTATTATTATTCGGAATCTGTGATGAGTCATTGCGTTTAAAAACCGAGTCTTGAAAAATATGTTTATTACAATTTCATAAAAGTTTTTTTAAATTTTAAACTTGACAAAGACATTTTTTGTCGCTTTTTTTACGAATTTGTATCAAAATAAACTTAAAATTCTTTTAAGTAAATCAGGATTTAAGAAGTTAAAATATTTGGCTGTAGGGTTAATTATAAACTCTGATAAATGGAAAATTACAGATTATTTCTAAAACATAAATTGTATAAAAAATTAAGAAAATACATTGAATAATTTTCATTAAAACTATTATTTTTGCGAGATGAAAATTAAATATTAATTATCAACTATCAAAAATCAAAAACTTTATAAAAATAATAAAGTAAATTTTTAAAATTTAATTATTTAATTAAAATAAATTTAACTCTAATTGAAAATTTCAAGTTATGAGAATAATGAAAAATATTTAAAAGGTTATATGGCTATAAACAATAAATTTTCTAAATAAATTTCACACTTGTTGGTAAAATTTCTTTAACATTTTATACATTTATAAGTAATTTAAATCAGTTGGTTTTTAATTGTGTTTACTTAAATTCACACTTATTTTACACGATTCTATTGTGCTTGTATTCAAATTCTAATTTTTGGAAATCATTTCATTTTTTTTTATTTTTTTCATTTTTATTTTTTTCAATGATAAATGTCTCATTTTATTTTTTTCTATTATTTAATATTAATTTATTTTTTTTAAATAAATTTAAATTTTTATTCTATGTTATATAGCAGGTTTCCAAAAAAGTTGATGCTAAAAAACCGTTTATTAAAACAGGACTTAATAATATCTAAATAGTACTATATTAAAAATATATATTAATATTAAATAATAATTAATAAAATAAAATAATAAAATAATAAAAATAATTAATTGAATAATTAATAATTAATTTTAATATATGTATATATTAAAAAAAAATACATTAAATTGTTCATGTTTTTTCGAGCTGTAATTTATTTAATGAAGAGCTGATAAATTGTAAAAATATTATTTATTTTTCCTCAAAATACATATAAAATATTAATATTCTATAATGAATATTGAATATATTAACACGTATTTTTAAAAGGATTTATCTCAAACATCAAAAAGTTTTCTCTTATTTATATAATCCAAGATTAAATATAGAGTATAATAATTATCTAAGATCTTTATTGGTATCGTATTATCAAAAGTAATAACATTGATTGTGAAAAAAATTATAAAATAATATATTTACTTTTTTTAATTCAGCAGCTACTATTTTATGAATATTTTTATAAAAATTTTAGATCATCTTTATTTCCTTGGAATTTTTACATAATAATTTCCAGTTTTTATAGCCCTAATTTTAGATTAAACATAAATAATAAATCCAGTTTTTTTTAATCAAATTTTTTGAATATCCGCTAAAATGTTCTTTATAAACTTTTATTTATACTAAAATAATTATTATTTGTCAAGTCAAACTTTATAATAAACTTTCTCTCTATTTTACTTATTTGAAAAATTAAAATTAACTTTAAACGATTAGTTACGAGTTTAATCTGAAGAAAAAATAAAATTTTAATGACCTTCTAGATTTTAATATCTTTTCGTTGTTAATGAACCGACTGAAAGTTATTTGATATTTTTCCCGTTAATGTGTAATCGTAAAACAACCAAAACCGAATGGAAAATACCCATTTCACAACACAAGTCGTCCCAAAACTGCCGTATATTTTAAACATTTAAAGGTCATTATAACCCCTTTCTCTTTATTTCTGATTTTAACTTCCATGTAAATAGTTAAACAAAATAATGAAAAAAAAAAATTTGAAACACTTATAGAACCCGATTTACAAGTGTCATATACGACTTGTTATTTATATGCATTCAAGTCATTAACAACGGTGTTTATTATATTTTTCCTTCTTATACACGTATTTAAAAATTTCCTTTAATTTTGTTCCGATAGCTTTATATAAGTACAGTAAATACTTACCTCTTCGACATATACAATTCTAAAACACGTATCTATATGACTTTTTATTAAACAAAAAACTGCCTTAAGTATTTAATACTGTATCCACGTTCGGATCACGTGTTTTTTTTTCATTTTATGATTTTATGACTGCATTATTTTGAGATATAGTTATTGTGTACATTTATGATGTTATAGAATGTACGTTTTTTGCGTTTCAATAATTGTATTTGGTTTTCGACTGTGAATATGTTCATTGAAAATTGTACGTTTTCGTATCATGTAAGCACAATTTGTGCATTATGTCTGCTAGAGAATTTTTAAATATGTGTGTATTTTTTCCCCCCGGATAGATGTCATTATTTTTAAAGTGTACAATTTATACGAGTACGTGACATAACCATGAACTGTCTTTGTTAAATCACCTATATTTTCCTGGACATCTCCAAGTCCTTGTCTATGACAAGCGATAAATTAAATACTTGAGAAACAGAAAACTAGCCATAGTATACAATTTAAAATCGAGTAGAGTTTCAAAGCCATTTTGATTTTTGAGTTATTGTTTTAAAATAACTGTAATTTTTTTCATATAAATCTAATAAGTACATATCTAATTTCATAACTATTAATAGTTAGTGTTTTGAATTATTGTACTTTATATTGTTTATAAATGTTGATTTCTATTAATATAAATCGTTTAAAGAAATTGTAACTCCTATATTATAATATTCCCATTATTTTGGATTCTATTTTTTATTGCTGAGTTATATTGAATAAGAAAGTGACTCTATCTTGATTTAATACGATTTGTAACAGTGAAATTGTTTTTTTTTTTCGTAAAATAATTGAATTATAACGTAGAAATATCTTATACTACCAGCTCAATAGAAAAACTTCATTAATAGTATTGCTTTATACCGACCCTTCAAATGTATAAAAATGTAACTATTAACTGATAAATAATTGTATTCATTAATAGCATAAGGCATAAATTAAAATTAATTAGTATATAGTATATATTTAAGGTTTTTCTATTTGATATTCTTTAAATCAATGTACCAATATTTATTTTTTATTAAATTGTAAAACTTATATTATGTTTTTATTACTTAATACATTTTTATTTCATTTTAATTAAATTTATTAAACATGTTGTGTATAGTTTTACAATAAAATTAATATTAATTCTTTAATCAGATTGGTACATTTATTTTTAAACATGATAAATTTCACTGTAAATCACATAAATGATTTAGTCATTAAAAATATTTGATTAATTTAGGGTCGTCATGGAAAAGGATCTATATTCGTTTGGGCTTCTGGTAATGGTGGACGACATACTGATTCATGTAACTGCGATGGATATACAAACAGCATTTTTACGTTATCAATATCTAGTGCCACGCAAGGAGGGTAAGTCGAATATATTTTGTAATACCATCACTAAATTTTGCTAAGAAATTTCATTTTACAGTTTGACAATCACATCAAAAATTATACAATAAAATTTCTCTCATTACAATGAACAATTACTAGCTCGATATTTTTTTAGATTCTGAAAAAACAAGGAATGTATTTATTTTACCATGATATATTCTTTTTTTTTTTGTGTACATGATTTCGATTTGAAGAATTACTTCGATCATCACCTAATAAAAAGTATGAGATCAGAAGTTTTCCGAATAATTGAAAAAATTGCAAAAAAGTTAAATTTCAACGGAGATAGAAACTCAAATTATATTGTTATGTATTATTTATATATATATATTTTTTTAGTATGTCTGTGTATAAAAATAAAATTTCGGTCAGAAATAATGCTCCGATCGTGAAAAATCCATGAAATTTCTGATAAAAAATTCTGTCTAAGTTGATACTTATAAAAAGGTCGTTTTACGAATTTCCCTACAGTTTTCTTAATAATTGCGAAAAACTAACAAAAAGACATAAAAATCGGCATACTAGTTTTATAAAAAATTGAATTTTTCGTAACTAAAAAAATAATAATCGGATAGACTTCTTAAATCAATGTTCCTTATAAATGGCTTAATTTCTAAAAAAAAAATTTCAGACGTTTAAAAATAATTTAAAGTTTAATATTTTTATAGCTTTTTTTTTAAAAAAAATGCTTTTCAATAAATTTGGTTTGGCAAAAAGCTATAAATATTTAACAAAACGTTTCTCATACATATTTATGATTGAATAATGAAAAAAATTGAACCTCATTTCAAAAAAAAAAAAAAAAAAATGTACAAACATTTGAATATTAAATTTTGACACAACGATAAAAATCACGACAATTCTTTTCATTTTTGTAGTTTAAAACTCATAGAACTTTCAATTAAGGCTTAAAAATTGGATACAAGAATTTTCAAACGATTCTAATCTAGAGAAAAACAATTTTACCAAAAAGCACAAAAAAATTATATATGCGATACAAAACTTAACTCTAACAAAATCGGATATTTCAATAAATTTCCATTCAATGATTGTAGTTATTTAGTGTTTGTCTTATTAATATTAGTATAATCATTTACTGAGCAGTAGCATCATTTCATTGTTTTCTAGAATAGGATAATCGGATGCTCTTATTAAATTGTTTGCTCAACAGCTCAATTTATAAAAGTTTCAACTAACGTGGGGGAAGGGAGACATCAAACCAGTCCAAAAATATAATGATTTATACTTTATACATACATTATTGTACCTATACGTCTCATTTTTCTGTGATACAACATGTCAATGGATTTATAAAAGACGTATTTATATTTTGATGATATTCCGACTTGGGAATAGTTCATTTCTAGACTGTTGTAAATACATAATTTCCCTCCCTCAAATTACGCCACTTTTACTGAATACTAATATTAATATTTTTAAGACATAACTTAGTTTTGAAGTATTTCTATTAAATTTATGCTGTTAATCGTCTTAATTAGGCACTTGAAAAGGCTGTTTTCATCAGTTATAGTTTGATAACTTAAGGTATCATAATAATATTCATATGTCATTAATTTAGCTACATAGATGTTTCTTTTTTACAAAAGTAAACCAATAAAAGTTAAACCCACCTTATAAAAAAATATACTGTATCAATCATCTTTAGAAATATAAACTGATCCACATGACGACTTTCACTCAAAATTATTTTTGTACATTGATTTCAATTTTAAATGACCAATATCATTCACCCATCCCTCTATCTTACACAGTCATTGGTCTCACTTAATCTGGGATTTCGACTTTTTTTGAAAAAATTAAAAAAAATGTAAAATATTTAAAATAATCTATCTATATCTTTTCTTTTTTTTCTTTTTATTACAATTTAATTTATGATAAAAAATATCATTTTAAATTATTCAGTACATGTAGAAAACATCACACAATAAAAAAAATTCTTACGAATAAACTTAAGGAAGAATGTCAAATTAAAAATAATCAGCATACATAACATACTATTCGCTTTCTAGAAAAATTAATAAATCCTTAATATATTGTGTCTTTATTATAGAAGACAAAATTAAATGTTAAAATTTCCAATTAATATTCAATTCATAAAATTTGATTATCAGTCTAGCTAGCTTACCCATGTAACAATTCAATCAAAGTTTCTACATAGTTTCTTTCGATCAGAAACTAAAAATGAAATATAAACATTTGGCTATCGGTTATTTGCTAAAATAATATCGTTAACGTTCAAATTATTTTTTTGCCTGGTATTTTATTTTAAAAATACTGCACGCATTGAGACATTGACGCAAATCTACTTTTGGGTGAAAGGATAAAAAAAGTCCATCTCTAGATTTTGAGCTTTCGGAAGATTTAATATAAAACACTTCCGAACGTTTTAATCCAAACTGTATAGTAAAATCTTAAACCATGCAATCAAAATTTAGATAAACTAACCAATTTTACACTATTGAATCATTAAATAACTAATTTATAAAAGTTCTAACCGTAAAGTTCATTTGCTATTGCATCTTTATTTTGCTAACACATAATATATTACCGAATCTCAATACATTTTGGCACTTTACTAATAATTTATCAACATACAATAAATACTTTATATTATAAAGATACCTTTTACTGCTTACTATAACAGCGTAATCAACAACTTATAATTAGCAGAATCTATTGTGGTTTGTTATAGGTACTTATATCGAAAATCATAATCCTTAACGATGGCCAATTTCCATTATTATATTGATTACATTTTAAGTGTGATATCATTGTATGTTATAATTTTTTTTTTTTGTAATTTAATATTTAAGCTTTAATGCCATACATTATAGATGGATTCATAAATAAGTAAACAAATATATATATGTATAAAAAAAAAAAAACGATATGTTGTGTACGTGTAGTTTTCAAAGACGAATTATCAGAGTTGTCCATATATATTTTAATAGCATGAAACTTAATTACTACAATATATACAAAGGATAAAATTTTTATATCCATTGAAAAAAAAAGTTGAAAAATGAAATTATTTAATATTAAAATTCAAGGTTCTCGAAATCGTTAACTTTTCAGACCGTAATTATGTACATACATAAACATAAACATGAAAATATATTTTTTTTATTCTCAAAGTTAAAACTGAATATTAATGATTCTGATCCGTTCCACAAGCAACTAGGTAATTAGTTCTTTCAATTAATTATGTTATTATTTTATAGACGAATTATGTTACGGCTTTATGTTACAATGCATGAACAATTGTATAATATATATTTAAATCTATGTAGGCGAAAAAAAATCGAAGACTCTTTTTATTTTTTTGCTTACGAGACAATGATGACTCGTGAAACTCAAGTGGACCAAATTTACCCATGCAGTATATGACGATCTCATTATTAATTATTTATGAAATCACAACTGCAATAGTGTACTCTTATAATTAAAATAAAAAATAAATATATTATTGCGTGTGAAACTTTTCCACGCTAAACGAGTTTCTGATTATGATATAATTGGATTTACATTTTAACATAATATACTTTTTTTTAACATTATATTAGTATAATATTACACAAAAAAAAATAGTCTAAACAAAAATAATACTCCCGTTAAATAAAAGTGGTTTTAAAAAAAATTATAAATTTCGTGACCTACTCGTACTGTTACACACATTTTTTTAAACAATATTTATAAAGTAATTTGAAAACAAAGTTTATGAATGCTTCAACTTGATTTAGTTAACTGATTCATATAAAATTAAATAGCATTAACTACTTTTATATACCTAGTTGCCATGGTTATTATTTTTTTAATTTTATTATTATTTATGTACTTGCAAATATACAGTTATTGTGAATTATACTTTATAATTTTCAGAATCTGAATTAAAATAATTTTAGTAAAAGTATTTGAGTATATTTCTTTCTGAATTAATATAATTTTAAATTACTCTCACGAAGGTATAATGGATTTGATAAGATTTTTATTCAAAATAAAATTACAGTAACAAGAAGCGCCGCACTCCAAAAAAATTATTATGCTTAAAAATAATTGCCTTTCATAATACATATTATCGCATCTAAAAGGCTCAAAAGGTTTTAGATTAGTTTTATATCTAATTCAGTTATAAATCATATTATACTAACTTTATATAGGTTAAATTACAAATTTAAGTACCTAACCCAATTTTGAATATTATAAAATATTTCCTATGAAGAGTATTGGCATGTGAATTTAATAGGAGAAATTTCTGAATACCCAGAAAAGTAAGTCATTGGAAATTTTCAATTATTATACAGTATCTAAATAAATGTATTTATCATTTTTTTTCACCACATATAATTTTATTATAATTAATATTTGTGTTATTTTCTAAATCTTTACAAACAAAAAAGAAATAGATAAACAGTTTATGTATACAGTAGATGTATATATAAAAATATATTTATTTAAAAACATTTAAATATTCTGATTTATTCGTATTATTATAATATTTTATAATATTTTCTGTTTATATTCGAACAAAAATAGCATTTAACGTTCATAGTGTAATATATTGTTAGGTATTATTTTACTAATTTTTTTTTAACATTTCTTTGCGTCCAGCAACATTTTATCAACATATTATTCCACAATTTGCTAACTAGAAGTTATCGAATTATAAAAAAATTAATAGAGATTTTCAATTTATTTTCAATAATTAATTATTTTTTTACGATTTCTTAAACATTAATGATAGTAAGATGCAGCATCTTTCAGAACTTAATATTTCATTAATCAACTATGTATGTTATAAATGATTTTCTCTGTATTATTACATATTCAAATTTTATAACGTATTTTATTTTTAACATAATCTGTAGCTTTTGTGAGATTAAATTATTATATTGCTGTATTATGTATTTAGCTAGAACAAGGAAACACAATATGATTAGGTGTATGATTGTGCATAAATTGTAACATGTTCTCATTTTTCAAAATCTAATATAAGTCGTTTATTAAAATCTACAATAATTCGCAAGAGCGCATTTCTCTGATGTACAGTGTAAATTAATTATAAACTTAATATAATGTTTTAATGGATAAAGAAAATTTGATATTTACTGTAAATATTTAATAAGATTTTCTTATAGATAAACCAATCTAACTTATATAGTAAAATATGAACAAGAAATAATCTTATTATATGAATTTAATACTATACATTTCAAAGTGGTTAGATAATCAAAATTAATAATACTATTATAGTATATTATATTTAAATATTATTTTATCATTTTATATTCTTTAATATAATTATACCTGTAAGTACATACATGAACAATTCTAGTTATTTGTTCCGTTAACATTTATTTATATTTATTTATTTTATCAATTATTTATAAAACTACCATAAATTATTAAAATTAGATAATTGAATTATAATTTAAGATTAATTTGTTTTAATTAATTCATTTTAAACTTTAAGTGAACTGAGAAGTATTTATTGCTGACATAATTTCATATCGTTAAAAGTTAACTTAGGTTATTCAAATTTGATAATAATAGTGAAAACTAATTAAGTAAATCATGAAATATTTTTTTCTTTCTCTTCTAATGTTATGATAAATTGTGGTTTTTATGCGTACCTATGAGTTTCAGACAAATATGTTGGACCGTGTAACATTATTTGTAATGTTTATTTTCTCGACTCTTTGAAAAAGGTTGGCTTTCGTGTTATTGTTATTCAAATTTTCATATAAAATTTTTAAGTATATATTTTATACTTAGATATATCTACTTATAAAATACACATAGAAATATATATATATATATATATAAATTCTATAGAATTATACACTCGACCAAATTGATATATATATATTCTTTTTATATAAAATGGTAGATTATATTTCGGTTATTTCTATTATTGAACTCAATAATGCATATACTTCCACTGGAACGTATGTAAATTAAATGTGTTTTGTAGTATAAATAGAAATATTCCAGGAACACGTCTCATTCGCACGAAAGACGTATAATAACAGAATAATCGTGATTATCGACAAGTGTGCTTTCACTACTCTCCCGATGACGAGAATCGCTGACAACGATTTTCGGGTGGTAGCCATATGGCGCGTATAATGCGTGGCATCGGCGGTGAAGTCGGAATGTCGAGCAACGTACTACCGAAACGATAGCCAACAAATGTACGGGCGTGGAGGATTTTGGTCGCAAGAGGAGGTGATCTGCAAAGAAATAGCGTCGACGACAACGCAGCATGTTGTCGTTGAAAAGCTACTTTTATTTTCTAAAAGTCGGAAAGGGGTCGGAAACCGTGCGGATTGAACAAACTTCCAGCAAGCTACATTTGGAGTGTCACGTCCGAGACAACGAAAACGGCAGTAGTTTCCCAAAAGCTCAAAGGTTTTCTATCCTCTTGCCGCCGCTGTTGCAAAATTGCTCGCATATATATATATAGACATATTCAAACACAAGTATAAATATATCACCTAAACAATATTTTATTCCTTTTTATTAACAAATAACACTCCTGATTTTGGTACAGCGGCCTCTGTATAATATATTTATAAAAAAAAAAAGGTAGATATTAAAGGCATATGACTACTCATGAAGTATAAAGCAAAAATTAAATTGAAACATGAAAGCATTTCGAAATGTATTATTAGATGTATTTAGTATTAAAAATGTAATATATAATCAACCCTTTAAAATGAAAGAGTTTGCTATCTTTTCATCCACTAAGTCCACCCTCCTCTCCCAATAAAAATAACTATTATATGATATGCCTTCGTGTTAATGTTTTTACATTCAAAATTTTTTATTTTTTATTATTTTATTATTTAGTATTGAACTATTAAATTTATATTCGTGTAATATAAACACAATAAATGGGAAGATGTATTCTGTATTATATTCTTTTCGTGATTTGATGATTTGATATAAATTCTGGTGTTTGATGAATAATTCAAAATTAGGAAAAAAATGATAGCAAACAACTGTATTTTCTAAATAATACAGACACACTGACGAACATTGGAAAACATTTGATAATGTTACACATAAATTTCTAAGCGCAGTATGGATGCATGTGCTCACGAAAATGTTGCAGCTACAATAGAGCAACGTTGCACACGAGTGCGCGTTTGGTGTAGATCCGTCTAAACATTTGCTGTCAGAATTTTGCTAACGATCGTTTTGAGAAACATTTTGAAAATCTTAACACACCTTGAAATGAAAAACATACGTCGTTGAACGTGAATAGATTTTAGTTCGTCGATTTTAAAATGTGTTTTGTTTCTTAAGTAGAATTATGTAGATTTAAAAGCTTATTGGCTATAATATTATATTTATATTTTCGTTTCAATATGTAATTTAATGCTTCGTAATCACTTGTCTACAATATCTCTTAAAGAATTATAATCAACTTGAAAAATACAGACGCTAAAAAAACGATTTCATATTATTTTAAATTAAGAGTGATGAAATCATTTGTTTTCCGATACATGTTATACGAATATATGTATATAAGAACAATGAATATATAGTCGTAATAAATATTTATGTTTTATAATACAAACTAAATTGCAGCGTTCCTACTATTGTATATATGTTCAGTCAAAAACAAATACTAAGTCCTTCGAATAATTAAATATTATTTTACTCTGCCTTTTGACAAGAATAGTATATAATTACGAAACACTATTTCACTTTAATAAAGTAATTATTTAAGCATTACACTTTTTTTTCACTCATCATGTTTACGAAGCTTAGTGCAACTTTCACCAATCATGTTCGACTTTCCTGCTATGCCGTATAGTGAAAATAAGTTATTAACTCATATTAAAAGTTTTTGTTTGATTCAGATGAATTCTGCCATTCCCGTAGTCCTTATCTCATCACCTTGATTGTTTTTTTTATTTATTAAAATTTTTTATACCTTCGATTGATCATTAAAATAAATTTCTCTGTCTTTTCGTTGTAATTTATTTTGTTTTTCTGTGGATTCATTTTATTATATGTTATGTAAATTTTCTTCGGACTGATTTATTTATATTATATATTTATATAATTTAATAATATTCGTTTACATTTTTTGTTTCTCGTTAATTTTTTTTATACATAATTAAATTTATTTTATTATTATTATTTTTTTTTTTTTATCAAATAGTTTTCTGTTAGAAATAAAACAACACAATGTAGAGTATAATTTAACCAAAGTGTAATAACAATGTTAGTTTAATGTTGTTTTCATTAACTCTTAACTCCAGTTTACCACTTTTTCATTGGTTCAAAGCCTATTAAAAATGTTATATTTTAAAATGAAATCAAGATTAATGTAAACTTTTATATTAAATATATTATTGAATAATATTTTTGGAATTTAATTTAGTTAAACATTATTGTTTTGTGAGCCTGATATTTCTTCCGTTACAAATGTATGTTTATCATTCCATTTTATCTACGTTGGTCATATTAACAACACATCTAATTTTCACTTATTTAGACCAAAACCTTACATGTACTCACGTACATACTATTCAGATCAAAATAAAGTAATATTACTTACTGTATAATTCAAATAAGCTTTTAAGGATTACATTTTTAAAAACTATCAAATACTCGTATGTTAGTTTACAAAAAATGTAAGACTTATATAAAAAGTAGGGTAATAACATTTTTACCCTCAAGGTTTAAAGTAATAGATACATTTATGTTTTTAAAAAATAAATAGGTTCCTGTGATAAACTTTTATAAATAAAGAAATCAAGATAAAATATATAAATTATATATTTAGACTTTTAAAGTAAATTTAAGTCAAACTTACCGATGGATTCTTAGAATAAATTAAAAAATATGATATTATATGTACGTATATATAGTTTATATTTTGAGTATATTAAAAATAATACTTTTAATATGTTTTACTAATTCCATAATTTAGTTTGGCATTAAATATTTTATGTGTTATTCATGTATTCATTTATATTTAATTATAAAGTTTATAGACTTTTGAAAGACTAAATATGATTAAAAAATATAAACTTAGTTATTTTCAAAATTTTATTGCTATCAAACATAATTTAATACTTATTATTTGAATGCTATTAAGTTATCAGACGTCCATTTTGAGACTAAATAGAATTATGACCTAAATAAAGTCCCTAAACAAGCAATTTTAAAAGAAATAATTTTTATCGATACGATTTGTTTTAGGTTTGAAACTGTCCATTGTGGGATTTAAAAAAGACTTATTACTAAACCCTTTTGAAGTTATATACTTATAGATATTTTTTTATAAAATATATATATTCTTTAGATATAAACCGTGGTACCTCGAAGAGTGTTCATCTACATTAGCAACCACCTACAGTTCAGGTACTCCAGGCCACGATAAGAGTGTGGCCACTGTGGATATGGATGCAAAATTACGACCGGATCACATTTGTACCGTAGAACATACTGGTAATTATGATTTTAATCACTACAGAATATTATCACAAATTTGTATTACCTCGTAAGAGTTAAATAAACTAATATAATACGATTGTGAGTATCTAGTAACTCTTATTAGATAACTATAATAATAATAATAATAACAGCATGGGTACCTTTACAGAATAAACATAAGTATTACACATGACTGTAGTTAATGATGATCTTCTTTTAACTTTTATTATTTAATATAATAATGAAAACTTAATTTAAATTCAAAATTATTAAATGGTTAATACTCCTAAATTAATATATAAATAAATAAACAAATACAAAAATAATACGTATAATATTAATAATACATAATAATACATATAATATATATAATATATATAATAATATAATATAATAATAATACATACAAAAATAAATAAATAAATAAATGCTTTGCCTGAAGTATTATTATATTTATATAGTACGACCGGTCTCGAATTAAAAATTAATTTTCAGGTATATACAAATTCAATAAAGAAAATAATAATATAATAAATAGTAGAGTCGCAATTTTATTGACTTAGTAGTATACCTGATGATGAATGTTTAAACCAGTCGTTGTACTTTACAAATATAATAACACTCTATGCTAAGTACATGTTTATCTATTTATTTATTTAAATTATTTGGTTGTTTATTTATATATTATTAATATTTTCTAAAATTAAATCAAAACAATGAATTCCATGACTTTCAACAATTTCGTGTTTGCTTATTTTAATATACGTATTTATTCGTATATATTCTCACGTGTACATGTTTAATTTGTTCTTTATTCACTAAAACACATACTCTTACTTATAAAGTTGTATTACACATCTACAGGTTGTCCCTTAAGCATTCACAAACTTTCCATACAAACATTTGGTATTAATTTCGCGTGTATACTCCTACAAGTCTGTGTGTCATGCAAATAACAATATATATACCTATTCTTTTATTGAGTATTTATGGCCTCGAAGAATTTTAGTTTAAACACAACGTTTTTATGTATGACATGATGCTATTATTTGGGTATCTAAAATTATATAATAGGTTACAGTAGAGCTCGTAAATTCCACAAATATTATTTTATTAAAAAAAAGGACCCAAATATTTCGATTTAGTTTTCTTTAACTATTTCGGCTAAATTCACTAATTTGTTATTGTTATTTGGAATAGTTAATAGTGGTTATTTTTTGTTTGTTTTTTTAATGTTCCTTTTGTAAAATCGTGACGTTTTAATAAAGTTATAGCTATGGTTTGATGTTATTTGATTTATGAGTAATGAACGTACACGCATCAGCACATAAAGGAACATTATAAAAACTATAATATACCCATAGGTGCACGTAGGAAGCTTAAATATTTCATAAATCCTAAAAAAGCCTTTATTTATCAATTGTACAAAATATTATAGCATGATTCACGGAAAGACAGAACGATAAGACTAAATTTAAAATCCTTATACATTATTTCATTATTTTTTCTTAAGATTTTATGTTTACATTACGAATTATGGCAACTGACTTTGATTTTTCATATGGATGGTATTTTCAAGAAATGGGTTGTAATTTTTAAATACTATTACAATTTTATTCAAATAATGTAAGTACAACTCTAAAACATTCCCCTCTATCACTGAAGAAAGTTACAGTCACGTGCTTACGTCTGTGATTCTATCTACCTGAAGTTAATACTTAATTTTAACACTTGTCGACAAACGATTTTTAGGGACATCTGCATCGGCTCCACTGGCCGCTGGGCTTTGCGCACTTGCACTTGAAGCGAATCCTGCGTTGACATGGCGTGACATGCAATACATTGTGGTGCTTACATCAAAATCATCACCTTTAGAACGAGAAGGAGGTTGGATATCCAACGGAGTCGGTCGTAAAGGTAAACACGAAAAACACTCGCACACACAATAGTATTAAATTTTTGTGGTGGTGAAACAAGGGTTAACATCGTGAAATTGCCAAGCCTTCCATTAATGAAAAATAGTCAACTTTAACAGGCGACAAGTGGTGTGGTGGAAAATTACTATCTGCTCGATCCTTAGTAGTTGGTGGCTTTTTGTAGCCACATGTACACTGTACGTGTCTGTCCGACAGTACACAATGAAAGAAATTCAGTTTTTCAAATAATATTTTTTTAAATACCAATTTCGTAATAAGCTAAAAAATCTTCTTTAAAGATTTAATAAGCCTTATAATTAATTTTAAATTTTTCGCAGACAGATTATAACTTTATAATTAATCCAAAAAAACGGTGTCATATCGTTTTCTTAAAAAAAAAAATTCTAATATTTTCTCATAACTTCTTAATGTCTATTAGAAAATATTAAAATAATCCAATAAATTAAGATATCAAAATGTACACTATGAATTTAAGCATAATTTCATAAAATGTCTTCCCATTTTTTCAATTTCTTTCAATTTCAACTGCTCTATTTTTCAATAAGTATTATATTGCAAGTTGAATTTATTTTCCAAGCAAAAATGTTTTAAAAATATTTTTTTATGTTATCTTATTTCATTTATTATTAATCTTTGGTTATATTATTTTTCATTTAGTAACTTAGAATCTATCGTTTTTAGTTTATTTAATTGTTACATATATTATACGGTTTTTATTGCAGTTCTTTTAAAACTGCAACAAAAAGTATTCAATATAATTATTAAACTATACTACTATCGAACAATTTTAACGATTTGATTATACTTTTAGGTATTATGTAGGTATAGTTACTGAATATCAACTGTAAAATTGAATTATTCTGTAATTGTCGACGTTTAACTAGTATATTTCCAAACACAAAAAAAATTGTTATCCAATACTTAATATTTTTAGACTCCTGATAACTTAAAATTGGAAAGTGAAACAAGTTACATATAGATTAAAAACATTTCATACGTATATTTATTGTAATTTTCATAAGTTAAAGTTTAAACTTATCGATGTATATGTACCAATAAATTGATTCATCCAATCCCTGTATTCGTGCCATATTTTTTAGTAACTTTCCTTGTAATAACTTATTTAATTAATATACATTTATTAAATAATGTAACTTACCACAATACTACAAATTATATTACAAGATGAGATTATAATTCATATGGTCCCTATTTTTAATTTTCGAATAGAATTTCTATAAAACACAATTTTAGGAGTTGAAAAATATAAAAACTATTTCTGATAGGTAAGGTTATAAAAAAAAATCAACCAATTTCCTCTTTGATTTATTAACGTTTCTATGAATTTTATAAATGTTATTTGAGAATATCTATGAATACAAATTTGTTTTTTTTTTTTATGCTAAAATAAATAAACATTATTTTAATATAAAATATCGTATACGCCCACCAAAGCACTTTTTGAAATTTTTTTTGTTCATAAATTAAATTTAGATTAAGCGATAAAATTAAATTTAAGCGTTTAAAATGAAAATTAATAATATTATAATATTTTAATTGATTATAATTTATCTAAATAAAATTTATTAAAAATTTATCATTAATTAAATAATTTTACTGGAGAAAAAACAAATATGCCATAGAATTTACTGATTTTTTAATTTTTTTTAGAAATTTTCTAGAATATATTTTCAAAAATTATAATTTTTATGTATAATTTTTGTACAATTTCCTATTTAATGACTATGTACAAAAAGTAATTACTGAACAAAAACATGTAGTTTTAAATTATTTGGTAAAACTAATACGTTCTTCACTCTCTTCAAAATATAAATTACATATTATGTCGAAGTACAATTATTTCACAGTAGCATATCTGCGTGAAGAAACATTTGAAATTAAACCATTTAAACATTTAAAAACATATACTATTACATTGTGTTATACAACCACAGTTTGTACTACTTAAGTATATCAACTTACTATATTTTTATTTTGTTATACTTACATTATCTTTTATTATCTTATTTATTTCACTATTTTTTTTTTTTTTGTAATACTGGTATTGTTTAAATTAAAAATATATATGCTATATCATCGATATCTTAAGTACCATTTATAAAAATAAAAACTTGATATAAATTGTCACTTAATTTTTAGATTGCTTGACTTAGCAAAATTAACTCTATTTAAAAAAATAAAGTGTCTCCAAAACTTTTTAAGCGTTATAATTATAACGTAATAAGAACGCTAAAATTTCTGAAAATTAGTTGGGGTACTCCGTCCCCCTGCGACCCCCTCAATTCAAGCACTGCTTATAAGTTACTAAGCTATAGTTCATGGAATTCTAAAAGTGATTTATTTTTATTTATTCTAAAAGTTTTAATCTTCAAAATATTGCCTACTGTCTTTTCTACTTGTATATATATTCTTGTACAACTAAGTGCTATAAGAACTTAGTTTAGTGGTTTTATGTTTTTTATGTAAATCCAATTGTTTCCCATGAAATAAAGTCATGAATTGGAAAAATAAAATAACCTCATGGCACGGATTTAAGTTGCCTGAAAATATTACGACTATACGGATATATTTCTGACTGTTTTTTAAATCGTTTTCACAGTGCAAATAAAATGTTTTGTTTGTTCTATTTTCAAATCATGATTTGTACACATATTATTCATTTGTATATTCGAGTGTATAACTATTTGGGCATCATTGCAAACTTGGTGAAAGTGCAGACATGAAAAACTACTCATATTGTTTTGAATACCGTAATAACATTGAAACTTAGTAACACCAATATCCATAAGCCAATTATGCTAACATCACTGGATAATATCAAAATATTATTCAAGATAATTCGCTATAAAAGAAAATATCCAAGGAGTCAAAGGTGTATCTAATACGTACTATGTTACCCCATCCCATATATTATTGCTAACGATTTTTCGTTTTAAGATTTTCTTTAGCACGTTTTGATTTTCGCACTTTAATGCATTTTATTTCAATCATTCCGAACGATAATTTTCTTCTATGATATTTCGTACGCCTAGCTGAAAATTAAAGTTTTCCTTTTTTTAACATTTTCATTAATAATTTAGGAAATATCCTAGTCTTGTATCAAATAAGTAATAAAAGTCTATGTTAATTAGCAGTGTGAAATATTTTCTGAACGTCATCCTGAAAAATGTATATTATAGATTTGAAAAAAGAGATTATTTTTTCAATAGCTGTTATAATAACTATATTTCCTCAAATTGCATTTCCATCATGGATTTTCAGTAAAAAATAATTTGAAAATAGTATAACTATCGTTTTTACTCATTTATAATTTCTCATTCATAAACATATATTATACATGGATGTAGGTTTTGTTTTGATCAATTAAATTGTTTTTTGAACATTCGAAACTAACCAACAAAAAGTAAAAACAAAAAATAACCATTCAAATATTTGAACTGCGGACTCTTTGACGTTTCGTGATCGCTAACCGCTTAAAATTGAATGCAATTAACCTTATGTGTTGGACGTGTGCATCACATGTATTATAGTATGTGTAAGTGTACGTGTGTGTCCCAATGATAATACATGTACGGTAAACGCACTATGTGTTGGGTTACCGTGTATATTTATAACGTTTTTGTTTATACATTTTAGTGAGTCACAAATTTGGATACGGTCTAATGGACGCAGGTGGGATGGTTTCATTGGCCGAAAAATGGACAACAGTGCCGCCACAACATATATGCAAGTCCCAAGAGATCGCCGAAGAGAGGTACGCAGGAATTGTTTAATTTTATTTTGTTTTTTTCCGCAATTCGTATATTTAATATAAGTGTGTTAATATTGTACTACGGCGTTATAAGAAGTATTAACAACGACGGACGTGCTCTGTATGTATTTTAGTGTATGGCGACGTGGGCCTATAAGATGAGAGTTTATATAGGGTCCGCGATAAATGCAGTGATGAAACCGACTTGTCCTCAATTGAGCGTGTGATCGTAAAAAAAATGTGTATGGTATTTCCCCAAGGAAACTGGCATATAATTTTCCGCACGTGTTCTCGTTTCCATGACCAAATAACCTATGTGGATAACACACATACGCCCATTTTGGGGTATATTTTTATAATATTCAATACTATAGTGTATAATCTTCGTCGAGCATTATCTATGATACCTACCTTCTTCATGATATTATTCACTTTGATTCTTTTTCTTTTTTTGTGCATATAATACACCACGCGCGTTAAAATTGATGGCTGGAGGTATTAATAGACGGCAATCTATCTGTGCTAACAATTTAACGTGTTTCGTTCATATTACTCGCATGCTAATTAAGTATAATATGACGAAATGGTGCGTACTTTAAATATCGCAATTATACTATTTTTCACAATACAACATAATGCAATCGTTTTATAACTCTTAGTATCATACTGTATTTACCTATTCATCGTAATAAATTTTATAACAATTGGTACACATGACGCTTTTTTAAGAGTGGTGTGTACTTATAGAGAATTTTACTAGTCTGACGCATTCTTTAATGATTTCAGTTAGTCACAGACTGGTATAATTTGTACTAGGTAGATAATTCGGAACACTAAAAACAATACCGTTATTGATAAATTGATCAGTTTATGGGAAAATTTTGAAGGTTATATATATATATATATATATATACAGCTCTTAAGTTAAATCTAGATATCAAATTTATTTTATAATTAAAGCAATTGACGTGCACATAATTTGTACTTGAAATATACTAACTTCTTCAAAGACTTGCACGTATTGTTTATTTGATACTCTGTACACAACTTTTACACAGTAAACTTCTTTCATAAAAACACATACTACTTCTGAACAAGAACTAAAAGATGCATATGTAATACTCGAATAATCTGCACGTGCCTTCGAATCATGCGGTTTTCCGTAGAAGTTTAGTTTAAATTCTCGTTGGAGATGCTAATTTAAAAGTAGAGGTGAGGGAAGTTTAGGTTAGGGAATGTGGTGTAAAAGAGCTGAATAAATCGTATACAAACGGTACTTAAAGTTATCTTAGTAGAAAAAAAAAGCAAACCAACTAGGTTTCAGTCCAAGCTTTTTCTTCCACATCGTGCGTATAGATACGTACTATACAAATATATACTACTGAAACATCCCAAAATAGTATATTTTTCAGATAGTAATTGTACCGGTAACTTAGTCCCGTTTTGATTAAGCAAATTGATTATATCATCATAATGATTTTATAAAATCGATGTTTGATAATAATCGTTTGTCGAAAAAAATTTATTTCTGGATGACCGACAAATTTTGCTTAATATAATAACATTGACATTTATTTCAATTACTGTTCTTGATAGAATATTACCTATGTATTATAATGTCATGATGTAAGTAATTTTTTTTTTAAAATTGTTTCCTTATGTTTAATATTTACATTTAATTTCAATCAACGCAGTCAACGTTTATATTATTCTCGTGCGACTCGTGATTTTATTTTAGTATTTTCAATTAGTTTAAACTGTTCAGGGTGCAATTAGATACAAAATTAAAAAATAAAGGTTACTACGATGCGCCATAAAAAAACAAATGCATTTAGATCATCTATTACTTGTCATTAGGTGATGATAGGGTTCATTGGTGGTTATATGGAGGGGTTTTATGGAGGGTCTTGATCCTTTCAAATCCCAAATTTATACTGGGAAATATTATTCGCTCGGGTCGCTGTTTAAAACGCTACGTTATGTTTTTTCGTTTATAGAATTTAATTTTAGAATTTAAAAAATTATATATTTTTGTATCTATATATATTATAAGATAATTCCAAAGAACCTCCCTCCTCCAGGAAGAAATTTTATAACCCATCACTGGTAACGTAGGACTGTCATGTCGATAAACCTTTTCAGTTAGCATCATGGTTTTCTAATCACAATCAATCATTGTGACTAATTATGTTTTTTATAAGTCACTTTAGTTCCTCATTATGCTGAACTTTTTTCATAATTCCCCGTAACTTTACAAATTTCCTTACCAAGTGTATCAGTAGGGATAAATGGACATGTATAAAAAGTAGTATAAAAATTTAATCTGATTATTTTTTTTTTCAACTATTTCTGTTTTTATCACCCGCGTAAAGCCTATTAAATTAAATCCGGGACGTAGATTCTTCTAAGAGTACCTTATCAACATGTGTTTGACCGCTGATAAGAGCTTGCGGAATGTCTGGTCCTGTACGTCTTGGAACACGTTAACAGTTACCCCGAGCATCATTACGATATGAAGACAGTGTATACAGTATAAACAGTGGGCTGTCTACGGTTATCATGTGTACACATCTATGGTTCGCAGGCAAATCGACCCATCGCCGGGGAGCACGCTGACCGTGACCATGGAAGTTGGTGGTTGCCAAGGAAGTCTAAACGAGGTGCGGTTCGCGGAGCACGTGCAGTGCAAAATATCGTTACGGTTTTTCCCTCGCGGTAACCTACGCATCGACCTGACCTCACCGCTGGGCACCACGTCCACGCTGCTGTTCGAACGGCCCCGGGACGTGGCCAGCTCCAACTTCGACGACTGGCCGTTCCTGAGTGTGCACTACTGGGGCGAAAAGGTGGACGGCACGTGGACGATGACCGTGCACAATGGTGGCAACCGGCACGTCAACCAGCCAGGCATACTTAAGAAGTGGCAGCTGATATTTTACGGCACCGCCACCAACCCCATACGGCTGCGGTCCGCACAGTCGCAACCATCACCGCCGTTCGCCATCACGCAACAGCAACAGCAGCTGTTGCTCCAGTCGCCCAAACCTGCCTCGGCCGGGTTCCCGTTCGCCCAACTTGGTGGTGGTGCCGGACAGGTGACCGGCTCGCCGTCCATATACCACTCGAGCATCGCCGAGATCCTGTCGCAGGCCGGTTTCCGGAACCTACCCGACGTATTCGCCGCAGCCGGAAGCGACGTCGAGGTAAAATTTATATTTTATTATTAATCCATGCCGCGTTGATTTGGGTACTCGATTGCAGCGCCTACTCTAGTTGGATACCGGATTATTTTTTGGTACCTCATAAGTCGGGTCCCGGATACTACATATACTTATATTAAAATGTACCTAAAATGAAATATATTCTATTAAAAAGGAAAAGTTTAAGTTCTTGACTCACCAAAAATATAATTTTTTTTTTTAAAAAAAACAGTATTTAAAAAAAAAGGTTGGTTAGCTCTGCTCTACTCTAACACCATTGCTCTAGACTCTTAATTGTTTAAGTACTCATAGTGATGCTTTTATATGGACCAATAAGTTTATATTATTAAAATACTTAGGCATACATAGAGTAGTACCCACATAGAGTAGTACCAACAAAATCTGGGACCCAACTTGTACACATTTTAAAAGCCACTGGTATTAAGGATTTTGCTCTTAAAAATACATTCTACGAGAATAAATCATTTTTAACCGGTTCATTCTACGAACAGGATCATAATTCTCCGTAAAATATACTTTTGTGGACAAAATTATATTGGCCTTAAAACTGTTTCGATCTAATGGCTGCGTGAAGCCCTACAGGGCTCTGTTTTCATGTACGGCATTATCCCAAACTTACTATCTTGGTATAAGTTTGTGTTGTGCATTTTTCAACGAAAAAAACGTGACCCAATGTATGTAGTACGCATTCTACAATATTCTCATTAAACATAATAATAATTTTCCTTCATAATTTATTTTGGTATTACAATCCCTTAGAAAAATCGATTTTAACTCCGTTAGGAACCAGGCGTTCATACCGTGCTATTTACATGTAGAAATCCCCCATACACAACTTTTCTCGAACGAATCGTTTATTTTATTTTTTTCTTACTTTTTTCAATATGTGAAACGTCAAAATACTTCCAAACGAGTCGAATTATCTCATCAAGTCGGTTTATCGTACTTTTTGCTATCTGTCAGACAGTGCTGCAGTAAATTTTTTCCTTTCCTTAAAACTCAAAAATCAATATATATTTATATACTCGTTTTATATGAAACTGTGACGAAGTACGAGTATACTACACGGTAGAGTCTTTTCAAATTTCTTTCTTTTTTTGAAAACAATATTTGATTCTTTAGTGTTTATTTCTTAGAACAACTCACACAAACAAAATTACACATGAATTATCTGCTACCTGCTACGATGAAACAATAACCACCCTAATTGTACTACATCAAAAACGTTCTCATAAAGTTGTTATTTGTTTATACACAGACGTCAGTTACGTCATTTACCAGTACCCGCTCAAACTCGCAAACCACCCCCGAGAGGCCGATCGACGGACAGACCATTTTGCACGACTGCGATCCCGAGTGCGATGCTTTCGGCTGCTACGGCAAAGGTCCTATGCAGTGCGTCGGCTGTCGCAACTTTAAGCTTGACAAGTAAGATTTAAATATAATTACATGTGGTTATGCCTGGCACAGCTCGCGATCACAGAACTTTGAGCTTGATGTGTTATTTTTTACGTTTTCACTAAAGCGTACTCGTAAATATTGAATCATTATTATTATACACATCGATATGGACACGCCTTTATCATTTTATTAGAAAATATATTACAAACAATAAATATTCTTCTCGACGATTTGATAATATCACTTATATTTAATATGTATAACAATTCATAAAACGCAGAATAATTATAAAATTTTACCAAATATTAAACTGAACAATCATTAAGTTGCATTTCATTAAGTATAATATTGATTTTTCATCATTTTGCCAGACATTAGATAACAATGAGCGAATGCATTTTAAAACAATAGATTTAACCCACTTGTAATGCGCCATATTAAATACTATATATATTTGAGATGCACCGTATCACAAAAATATTAGAATTAATTTTATTATAACTTAAACCTCGTATTAAACCTATAACGAGTATATACGGTATGTTACGTACCAAATAGGTGCTACCTATATTATTTTCTGTCTGAACTTTTTTTTTTCTTCTATTAAAATGTAAACTATATTTTTAATATTTTTATATATACCTAATATTTTAGTTCGATATTAAACAAAACATTTTCATAATGATTAATTAATTCTTGGCTATCTATTTTTTTTTTGATTTTTTTTCTTATTAAAAAAAAGTACACACCTAACCGTCTAAATGCAAAAATAACTCCTAAAAATAAATAAAAGTAAACTCGTAAACTCTATAACACAATAATACAGTGCGTTATTTTTCTTTTTTGTTATATTATAGTGTTACAACAATGTCTTCTTGCCATGCCACCACATAAAATAATAATAATAATAATTATTATTATTATTATTATAATGAACGAAATTCGAGAAATAGCATAAAACAAAGTTAAATATACTTACCTACCTAACGGTGGCAAAGAACCTATTCAATAGTACAACTCACGCAGATGGTATTTTAACTAAATTTCAAATAAATAACATAGTTTTACGTTTACTGTAGCTAATATTTTATACATTCGGAAAGATAAACAGATAAACAGTGCTAACATTTTAGAAGTTTGAATATTTTATCGCGTACAATATAGACACATATAAATTAATGAATTAAATTTTACAAGAGTAGTTAAAATAAAAAATATGTTCGGAAAAATTTACATTGCATAGATTATAATTACAATTTTAAATGGCTGTCAATCTAAAATTTAAAAAAAAAAATTCGTGAAATAAAAGAATTCGGAAAAAGTAAAAAAAAAAATTAGTGAAAAGTTTTTAATTTCATGCATTACTTTTGCATTAAATGTTCTACATGGTCACCTCCAAAAACTATGCAAAGTTTTATTAATGAACATTGCCGTGTTTGGAACACCTTCAGTTTCGAACGTATATATTTGTGTTTTGCAACTTTCATAATGCGATTTCTCAGTTGTTCAACCGTTGTTATCTCTACGAGAGAACTTTTCATTCCCAACTCGTCGTCTCTTAGTTTATTCTCACTTTATAGCAATGTATAAAAATCGTAGATGTTCGAAAATTTGGAAAACTGCTTAAAGCCCGTACAAATCTTTATTATTAAACTTTATATAGTTCACTAACATTTTGTCGATAAATATTTCGAAATGACGCTACATAAAGTTTTCATGACATTCAAATGACATCACGAGACTAATCTGTATTAAACTATAGAACGTGTTGTTACGTTCGTAACCGATACATGCCGCGTATGTATATGCAATTTAATATGCGTGTTAATGGCCTGCGAGTGTTCGATAATATTTAGTGAAATTATATAATCAAAGCGTGTATCATACCTAAACTGATGGAAATGAAATATAACTTCTACTATTTTTTTTTTTTGGTTACTTATAGTGGATTTCACGTCTTGCTTGCAATATATTTTCTTTTTTTAAAATTTGCTATAGAAATATATTTTGCTTTGTTATTTCTTATTAATATAGACAAATTAAATAGTTCGACGATTGACTGATACGACTGTCGGTATTTACGATGGTCACATAACTAACGTAGAACGAAAAAATATACGACGTTGTTAATGAAGTGGTAGGCTGTCTACGGAAAAATTCAAATACCCACCATTAATCAGTAAATGCATCGAGTAGCGGCTATAGGTAGATGAGAAATAAGGTTTCGGTTGAATGCAATATCAGTAGGTTCCAGTCCAATACCCCATGAAACTGAGAATCATACGGTTTCTGTTTTTGTTCCACAAAACATGCTCGACTGTTGTTATATCTATTATTATACAACTTGTATTATATATAACAAACTGTGTGTAAACATTTGAAACATACTTAAGAAATGTATTTATGTTGTTTTCAAGGTATAGATAAATACAAAGCGTATCAGCATAATTTGTCAAGTACAATTAATTATAAAACATTCTTCTTTTTTTATTATTATTAAAACGCTGCTCAATACTTATATTAGCTAAAATTGCCTTATTTTATTTTAACTTGACATTCAAAAGAATGTATTTTATACTGAAGTTTTCAAACATTTCTATTTGAATTTGTTTAGTAAATATATATATATTTTATAATAAAATTCAGCTTATAGTTTTTAAAATTTAGCAACCAATTAAAAATAATAATGTATTTATATGATATAAACTATTTATATTTGTATAAAGTCATTTTGTTTTCAATTCCTTTCAAATATTCACTTAATAATATGTTACATTTACGTTTCCTAACTTGATTTAGATTTAAAATTCCAACATGGTTTTTATATTAAAATGGAGGTTTTTAGTTGGATAAAATTATACCACTATAAAGGAATATTGTACATGTGCATTTACCTCACTAAAAATATACATTATAATGTTCATAGTAATTTAAGATATTCTGGGTCAATTGATTATTTTATATTTAGTAATTAATTTTGTATAGTTAATAGTTGTTTTGAATTTAATCAAGCATACTTGAAATAACGTATACAATGCATTATATATATGTTTATTACTCATCTTGAGACTTAATTTTCCCCAGCTCATCGTTTATTTATTATACTTTGTTCTTTATGTATAAACTATTTAATAAAATAACGCATATAATATAAGAGATGGGTAAAATATTTAAACTCTGTAAAAATAATAAATTAAAAAAAAAATCTTGAAAATTCGATTTATTCCTATCTGTCTTCGAAGAAAACAACAAACCGCTGATAATACAACTATTAAAATAAATTAATAAATTCACTTAATGTTAATTTTTTAAACCAAGAAGTTCAAAATTAATTATGTGTCAACAAAAAGATGATTTCTAGTTTTGATAAAAGTAACTTAAACCTAAAACTTGTTTCGTAAAATAATTCAACGTTTTTGACTAATGTTCCATATTCTGGTTAATTTATTATGTTAGTTTAAAAAAAATATGGTGGACAATGAAATTTACAAAAAAAAATAATAATTATTTTCCATATAACCCAACCGGATTATTTATATTCTAGTTTTTAGATTTTATGTATTTTATCCGGATAATACATTTTAGAATCAGTAAAAATAGTCCAAAAGTTCTGTGTAATCGTATATACATCATAATGTGAATTGTACTTTAAACAGAAATATTTATCTGTTCAGAAGTTAAAAACACGTTTGAAAACTATAAAACTCACGGTATGTTCGTTTTTAAAAAAACTTATCCATTTGTAGATAAACCCCAACATTTTTTTATACCGATCTATCTTGCTCTACAATTTAAAACATAACAGTACAATGTAAACAAGTGTCGATATGCGGACGAAAGAAACACAATGACTGTAATCCGTCCTCCCCATATATTTATACATTTTCTTTGACTTTTATACCGAATAAATTCTGTAAATATTATTAATTTTTTTGTGGCACCGTTTGTCGTGAATAATTAATGTGTAACGTCAACTCAACGTGGTATTCATCTTCCAGCACTTGCGTTAGCCGCTGTCCACCTCGCAGTTTCCCGAACAAAGGCGGTGTTTGTTGGCCGTGTCATGAGTCGTGTGAGACTTGTGCAGGAGCGGGACAAGATAGCTGCTTGACATGCGCGCCAGCTCACTTGAGAGTCACCGATTTAGCCGTTTGCTTGCAACAATGCCCCGACGGATACTTCGAGAGTAATAATTTTTTTTTCTATATTTTGATTCCACCCCAATGACCTTGATTTATTCCCCGCTGGTTTCCTATAACTGATAATGTTACGTTTGCGCGTAGACACAGAAGAAGGCACTTGCGTCGCGTGTGGCCCGAACTGTGGAAGCTGTGAAGCTCGTCCGGATCACTGTACTAGCTGCGAACATCATCTGGTACTCCACAACAACCAGTGTTACGCAAATTGTCCGATTAACACTTACGAAACTAACGATTATCGGTAAGTAAAATATGTCATATTAATCATTTTATGCAACAGTTTCCCATGTTTGGTCTTAAGGAAGAAGACGACTAGAGGTCTTAGTACTCTAGTCGGGGTTTTAGAGGAGCTTGGCTAAATGTGTAGAGAAAATAGTTGAATTATTTACTTCAATGACCATAATTTATGCCTCCAAAGTCATGTATACAGTTATAATCCATCCTACTATCCACTTTAAACCATGCAATCAACATAAGATATGCAATTAATAACTTCTCTTTAGCCTATAACAACCCGCTGTTGAAACGTGTTCGATTTCTTGGGAACAACTTAATAACTTAATGTTATTTTTTCAATATGCTATTGTTCATATTCAAGAAACATAACACTGGCTCCAAAATTAATACGATGCAATTAAAATTAAAAATTAATTCTATAACTTAATATATTTGATAAAAATTATTATTAAGTAATTTTATTTATTATCTATTAATTCAAGTTTTGAAAAAATGATACTACAAAAAATTTATTTTTTCTTTGTTAACTTCGAGAACTTTAGACATCCGCTAAAGTATTCTCAGTGAAGCCCAATAGTCTTTTTTATATAAAAATAAATAAAAAAATTTAGAAATGGTGATACTTACGGAGAAATATCAATATTTTTGGAGACGATAATTTTTATAAATTTATCACCATGCAAAAACTATCCTAGATCAGTAACTAGTTATTTCCATATCTAGATAGTATACAGGTATTTTAACGCATTGGGTTGTGTCATACCGCTTTTCTAATACTTAACAAAAGTTAATAGAAGATTACCAACAAGTTGAATTTAACTTTACGTGTTGTCATATGTAGTTAAAACCCGGCTTTCGTTTTATCAAAACAATGTGCACTTAGTGAAATCGCTCTTTTCATGAAGTATAATCACTTCATCATCAATATTATGAATTCTGTAAAAATTACGTTTAATACGTAAAATCTATAGATAATTATTTTTTCTTGTAGAACCAATAAAATTAATGTGATTCAAATAACGTAATCAAACATGATTCATTTTACGAAAATAATCTCTACATATAATCTTGTAATTAATCGTCGTGTTCGCAATATACATACATGTTATTGAAATGGATATTCAGGTCGCAAAACTATCGATTTCACTAAATGGGTACGGGGAATACAGATATAATATATATGCTCCTGTTGCTTTCCTTTGCGTCATCAATAAATATTTTCGACATGATTGTATATAGTTCTATTGACGATAACGAATATTTTGATTAATATCGTTACCATTAAGGTATCGTTTCTCAACCTGGGGGTTAATGATCCCATATAAAAGGGTTGATGGCATCGGTCAAAAATAGTTAAATGTTTATAAACAAAAAAAAACCGTATATACTTATTCTATACACTAGAAATGTTTTTTCCATAACAAGCGTATGCTAGTTGTTTGTCCTATTAACGATAAGTTATGTGTAACTAATAAAATCGATAACCAAGCACCATGAGAATTTTTTACAAGATGGTTTGTTATTGCAATGTGCAATGTGAACTTGTAAAATGTGTTTCAGATGTGGTGCCTGTGACGCAAAATGCGAATCGTGCACCGGACCGAATGCCGACCAGTGTATAACATGCAAATCAGGTTACTTCGAACTGAAAGGCACGTGCCATTCTAAGTGTCCAGACTACTATTATCCCGACCAGAAGCGTCACGAATGCCTAGCATGTCCGTCGGGTTGCGTCGCTTGCAACTCTACCGCGTGTCATTCTTGCGATCTAGGTTTCACGCTGAACAAGAAAGGACGGTGCCTAAAGACCGGTAGTCAACAATGTCAACCTGGTAAATATAAAATGTTTACTTTATAAAATTTTGCACGAGATGCACTCGCATCCACGAGATCCGAATCACGTTAAAAAAAAAAACAGAAATATAGACCAACCAGACTTTCTTTCGAATATTAATTGTTTATATATTTATATATATGTTACTAACATAATAATAAGAAGCAATTGTTGTATATCTCTTGAAATGTACATACATTTTAAAAAATGTGTGTTAAAATATCGATTTTCTACTAATGTATTGTATTTTCAATGGAATTCAAAACATTTAACGTACTACTCTGAAATGTATGTTTTGCAGTAGGTATTCGTATGATTTAATCAACCTCAAAGGTACATATTATTGAATTTAAAGCTACTTGTTGATTAGAACACTAAACAATAAAGTACATCGCTAACTTTTAACAACTCTATTGGATACAAGAAATTGTCAAACTAAATCTTTTATTATTTATACACCATATATTTTTTATAGTTAGTTCAATAAAAGATTATGACAGCGCAGAAACCAAAACTTGTCGTACCCCACCTTAACCTTTTATCCATTCCTCCGTTTTTCGATAAATTTTCGTTGTCGCATTACACTCCTACTCCTTCGTTCCATCCTCTGTATTTACAAGAAAAACAATTAAAATTGTTTTTGCGCTTAAACATTTAATATAAAATCGGACGCGATTCGATTGTTTCGTCTAAGAACACGATTGGGATTCATTGCTTTCCAACCTGCCGCATGAGTACCTACCTAAAACGTATATTTTAATCGTTATTACGGAAGCGATCCGAACATACGTATTGATTTTAGACAAACGTACACCAATCCATCGATTTTAGTCGAATAATATAACTACCGCTTACACTTATTATCGTCGCAGATCTGTAAACTATTTGTTACGTGATTCTCGTTATTGTTATTTTGTTATCCTGTAGCAGGCCAGTTCTGGACCGGTTCTCAGTGCCAATCGTGTCACGCCTCGTGCGAGACTTGCAGCGACTTCTCCGAACAAAACTGTCTGTCCTGTCGGTCGCCGTCCATGTTCCAAGCGCCGGGCACGTGCGTGGAACAGTGTTCGGCCGGCTTCTATCCAGACTTGCGGTTCGGCAACTATGCGACGTGTCAGCCGTGCCCGCATCCGTGCATCGAATGCGTGTCCCGCACGAACTGCACGATGTGCCACTCGCCGTTACTGCTGCAAACCGGCCAGTGCCGCACGACATGTGCCCCGGGGTATGTGCACGCACGTAATGTGCACACGTAGTAGCTTGACGATTACGTTTTGTATTCGAACCGCGTGCAGTGATAATAAAGGCTAACCGATAATGCATACGTTTCTCGACCGTATTCGCAGGGGAATAAAAATCGAGTTTTACCCGCTTTGCAATGTAATACCTGTTTGGGTTTTCAATGCCATTTTTATTTTTTTATTATTATTATTGTATCGTTATTACGCTTTTAAGAGTACAAATATTAATACCTCGGTTAACGATGTCGTATCTGTATACTCGATGCAATTGCTCGCTTTTACAGACGGTGACATGTGGTGGTGCTTTTTAATAATCCGACGCGTGCGTACCTAAGCCACAGTTTAATGTATCAGATATCATAACATAATGTAACGTTTCCAGATATTACAGTGACGTGGGCGCGTGCGCTAAGTGCTATCTGAGCTGTATGACTTGCAGCGGCCCCCGCAGGGACCAGTGCGTCAGTTGTCCGCGCGGGTGGCAATTGGCCGCCGGCGAATGTCACCCTGAGTGTCCGCAGGGTTTCTTCATGTCGGACTTCGGTTGCCAGAAATGCCACCATTACTGCAAGACTTGCAAGGGTAATAAAACACGGTTGTTATCTTACGTCCGCCTCTGCACATATTCTATCAACCTTCCTACGTACACATTATTATACTCCGACAAACTAATGTACTGTACACGTGATCCAGCGACTATAGCTTTTTAGTGCATGAACACGCGTTATTACAAATGTTAAAAGATATCAAATGAGAAAAAGTTTTCAATAAGACCCTCACGTAAAAAAACAGAAATATTCCGTTTACTCCAACATGTGAAACGTTTACATCACTTTTCGCGTTGAGACCGATCGAAGTTTCGATCCATGACATGTTTGACAGTTTGATTTCTTATTTGCGTGTTCTATAAGGTTCTATAAAACAAATACGCTACAATTTTTCAATCTCTTGCATGAATAGATACCAATCGATTTTCCTATAGTACGCTGTTGCTTTTACGTAAAACGCAGTTTTGTCCTTGACGTTTATATCGTAAAACACTGTATACGTAATCCCTCCACTCCAACACTTTACCATATGACGGATTTATAAGACTATGAAATATGCAACGGCATAGGATAATATATTTTCGGGGAATCAAAACATTTTTATTTCAAAATTTTTTTTATTTGTATTAAAAGTTTTTATTACTGTATCTTAAAATTTAAAAAAAAAATTTGATTTTATTTACTAATAGGAAATAAATTGAAAATCGTAATATTCAGCCCTGACTTTAGTATATATTTATTTGGGTTATTCGTGTAACCGTTGAGTATGCCCGTACGCTATTAACAACTTAACACTCATCGACCAGCCGGTTGGAATGTCGTTAAAAATCGTTAAACGGTCAAAACACGTTTCATAAACCACTTGGGGAAAACGGTACATCCGTGTAGAACATCTCTATCTCGTACAGACGGCAAACTCGACTCGACTCACCCTTGTTACGTAACCGTCCACACGTGGTGTAAGGGGATGATAATAAAGTGTACAATATTATGTACTGAACGTATGTGTGCGTCGCTTACAGGTGAAGGCCCGTTGCAGTGCACGTCGTGTCCGCCGCACTTCATGCTCGAGGACGGCCTGTGCTCCGAGTGTTCGGGCTCGCAGTACTACGACCCGCCCACGCAACTGTGCAAGCCGTGCCACGCGTCCTGTCGCGCGTGCACCGGGCCCGGCCCGTTCAGCTGTTCGGCGTGCATGTTCCCGCTGCACCTGGACCGAAAGAACTCGCAATGCGTGTCATGCTGCGGACCGCGTCCGCACGACGACTGCTGTAGCTGCAACTCGGACACCGGAGAGTGTCACAACCTGACGCCCGCGGAAAAGCGCCGGACGTCCGTCAGCGGCGAACTGGACAACCTGGCAGCGGCCGCGTCCGTCCACCGCGGTCCCGTGACGGGCGCGAACGCCGACACGACCGTGTTTGGTTACTTAGCGCTGATAGCGGTCGCCTCCGTCTTGGTCGTCCTGTCCGCTATGGTGGTGGTAAGTGTTTCGTGACCATGAGCTTGTCACTGGTGACTCAGGTCGTACACATGTGCCGTGTGCGGGACGTTCTTTCGGTTGTATTTCCGCATAGAGCCTAGTTCACGGTATGCTTGTCTATAGTTCGGTGAATTAGCGACTAATTTATAGCGTTCAAACGTGCGTGAACTGAATTCACATTTTGGTCGTTTAGCGAATTAATTCGTTCAACTAAATCGTACAAATCCGTTTGATTTGATTTTTTCTCCATTTTATTAGGCCTCCTATCAATTTACCAGAACTAGAACCTATGATGCAACAGCTACGCTGGCCGTAATACTGGCCGTAAATATTAATGCGAACGTGAATTGTTTTAGTGAACTTTACTTGATTTAATTCTGATAGCATTGGGTGAACTAAGATTCAGCTTCCAGACTTAATCATTCGCTTGTAGTATTACGATACGAAACGACGTGGACGCGTCGCAGTAGATTTACTAACTTATGTAATAGGTGTATAGTATGCGAGACCCATTCGAATCTACGGTATCCAAATACGACGAACTGCTAAACCTTCTCAAATTCGTATTGTTCAGTCCTATCCATTTATGATCGCGTCATTATCTCATTACGTTGGTATATTTCAAAAAATTTCCTTCGTATTGACCTCAACATTTATAATATTAATCAACTAGCAAAAGAACACTACTAAACTTCCATCCTAAATCCGGTTCTCACTTAAACTCTTTAATCTGTCTTCTTTCAATTGCAGTTCTCGCCAATAATCCGACGCATCGATTAATTCAAAAATGAGAAAATAAACAAATCGCCGGATGGCCACCCTCTGTTACTAATCGTACTATTTGTAATTATTATAACTTTCACATTCTTGTTCTGTATATAGTTTAGATTGGTTTTGAATTGTATTACAGAAAATAAAAACGTACTCTCGCAAAGTGGCCGTTCGCAAAAGAAAATAAAAATTACAATTTTGTTTGCGCTTAACGGCTTTGTTACCGAATTGTAGGATCCTAGAAATAGGTATACGGGATTTCGAGTTCATCGATGCCCTGGGGTCGGGAAAGATTTTCTTATCGAAACCACGATAGACTTTATAAATCCAAATTCTAAAAGCCATCCGGTTTAGATACGGTCCGGCCCGAACACTTGCCCGCGTAATTTGCGCCCAAATAACTCGACCCGATGCCATTAACCAGACACGTAGTTGCACGTGCATACTTTATTGCGAATCTTATATATGACATAACCACCATAATGGTATTTTGTCGTTGTACAGATAAAACGGAAGCGCAATCAACATTCAGGTTACGTAAAGTTGTTGCGACCGCAAAACGACATGAACTTGGAGGACAATGATAGCAGCATCGCACTTTTCGCCGAGACGTGACCGGTTGTGATCGAACACCGTCAACTTGACGACGACAAGCTCGCAGACCTGCAACTGTTGTAACATCGTTCGTCGTCGTCCGGAGGAGTGTATACCTAAGAATGAAAAAAAATAAACACGAAAAATAGAGCTAATTATTATTATATTATTAAACAATACGTCTTCGTTGTTTATCCGCGCACCAACTCATAAATCATAGCCAAAATGTTAAAAGCTCCTCTTCAATCTGTGGAAACGCTAATCCACTGACCTATATATCCTTTTTCGTCTTCGCCGATTCTCAATAACATGATTACTGTTATTATTATTATTATTATTATTATTATTATTATTTTTATTAGTATTACTTTTATTGTTGTTGTACACTTATTTTATACACCTACTTAAAACAACGACAAATTCATTAAAATATTATTAATTTTAGTTTTCCTTGAGTTCCTTTTCTGTAACCGTTTTCCGTCGAACTTCATTAACATTCCATATTTTTTTATTTCTATTTAAAATACTTGCTCTCTTCTTAAACTCAATAATAACAATCTGTTCATTCATATGCTTATGTGTATAAATATTATTAATCAACTTATTCAAATTGTGTCGATCAAATAATTTTTCTGATTGTTTTTACCACATACATTACCTCAGATTCATTATTATTATTTTTATTTTTATTTTAAGTTAAGAAAATATGATCAGTGTATAAAAAACAAAAACAAATCATAAAATCACATTCTTGACAACATTTTACTATCAGTTTGGTATTTTTTCTATTTCTTTTAATTATCTTATAATTTTTTACTGAGTATGTTTAAGGAAAATGTAAATGTCTTTAAATAATATTTTTTTGAATAGTTTGTTTAATGTTCTAATTTTGAATTATATAATTCCTATCTGATAATTGTTTATCGTTACATACAATCAAAAACGAATAAAACACTTAAAGTATTACATATTGCCACAGTAACAAAAATTACTTATTTTCTATTGCAGTAGTTAATATAATTTAAAAAGAAACAAATTAAGTAAAAAACAAATAAATATTTACATTGAACACTCATTTTTATTTGTGAACATAAAATGTAAAACCCTGTTAAATTATAGCATTTATGAAAAATATTCCAAATTTATTATTATTTCAGATGAACATTATAACTATTATTTTAAATTCCTACATAAACTAAGTAACCACTACTTAATAATACAAACATGATAAATATCTTATATTGTATGTTTATGATTATACTATAATAAAATAGAACAAATTATTATTATCATTTATTTATAAAATGTATAATCAATATCTAATATTTAGCTTCTGTACCATTAAAAAATATGTACCTGTATACCTATGAACATAAATTATTGTATTACTCATCCGTTTTCTACTTATTTAAAACATATATCATGTGAAATTGTTATTGTGACAGCAATGTCAATGAAATACTATTTAAGCATTTATCTAATGTGTTATGTATATGGCAAAAAAAAAGCGTACACATCATTTGTGAACTCTGTTCAAAATGTCTGTGATTCAGTTTGTAATATGTAAATATGATATTTTATTTTATTTTTTTTTTTTTTTGTTCAAATAAATTATACCATTATTGTAAGATTATAAAATATAAATTCAAATATTGAAAAACATGTTTGAGTTATAATGATTTGAAATCACTTGTGTCCATACAAATGTGTATGTTTCAATGATTTACAAATGATAATACTACCTATGTCATTAATTGACCGGATATGATTAATATAAACTTTTGTTTAATTTCACTTTGAAACTGTTTTCTGATTAATACTATTTGCCTGATATATGATAAGAGGTTTAAAATATTTTAAAGCTGATATAGTTTTATATATTAAAACTGTCCTACTACTCATTAGACCAGGAATCGGCTCTAGTAATTTCAATTGGATTCCAGAAGATTAGATCAAAAAAATTAATGAGGTTTAAAGAAAAAAATGTATTTTATTTGCTTATCCATTACATAAATATTTTTAAAAAATTTCCAATAGAATTTTGACAAATAAGTAAATTAATGTGACTGATGCTGACAACTCTGCAAATATTGATGCAAGTGGTAATACACCTCACAACTGATTCGGAGTTAAGATTTTTCTCTTACCATTTTTCCTACTTTTTTTATTTTTACAACCCATACCGATTTTTCTCTTGGCTTTCATAGCATTTACCACTGCATATGCAGCAAGTTTTTCTTTTTTAGAACTATCACTAAGTAGCTTTAACTCTTTCCTAATCCTGTTCTTTTAATAACTTATCAGCTTTATGTCTAATATCTAAATTATTACTATTTTCATAAGCAATGTCATGTGTTCGACAAACAGAATCCATTGGATTAACCCCTTTGTCTCCACAAGCTAACCTTTCTTTTAACTTAGTCCCAGGTCCACAAAACTGATGGCCTGGTACATGAGCTTCGAATGGAAGCTTATTTGCTTATTTATAAGAGTAGGTATTTAAGAAGCCTTTGCCAGATTTTAACTTATGAGTTGAAAGCATTTTATATAATTGGCTTTATATTTTAGCTCTTTAGTATTTATATAAAAAAAAAAATGAAATTAATCGAGCAAAAAGATAAATTAAGCATAGATAATGTTGATGTACAAATTACATTACATTACATTTATTACAAAACCATCAAGACACGGACCATTATTACCCGATAGTAATCGTGAAATATTGGTCGGACCTTCAGGATCGGGAAAAACAAATGTTATGTTTAATCTTATAACTAATAGAAATTGATTAAAATTTGAAAATATTTATTTATACTCTATAACACATGAATAAGAAAAATATATACTATTAAAAAATATAATGAACAGTATTGAAGGTGTTCATTTTTATATATTTACAAATGCAGATAAAGTTATAAAAAACCTAGTTTAGTTAAAAAAAAATTCAACTTTTATATTTAATGACGTTATTTTTGACAATCTAACCCCTATTCGTGACTATTTTAGTATGAGACGTCATTCTGATGCTAATTCAATTTTTTACTTGGCACAGACATATTCAAAAATACCAAAACAGTTAGAGACAATGCAAATTTTTTAGTAATATTCAAGCAAGATGATAAGAATTTATATCATATATTCAATGATCATTGTTCTGCAAATATGGATTTTTCAGAGTTCTGTCGGTTAAATATTATGAATCTCCCTGTAAAAAAATGGAACCAGAACATATATACAGGTTGTTGATAAAATCATGAGCACGTTAACTAAAAAAAATTTACCGTGTGTCTGTCGGTTAAATATTTTGAATCTCCCTGTAAAAAATGGAGCCAGAACATACATATAGGTTTTTAAAAAAATCATAAGCACGGTAACTAAAAAAAAATTTACCGTGCGTCTGTCGGTCAAATATTTTGAATCTCCCTGTAAAAAAAAAATGGAGCCAGAACATACAAATACATATTATTTTAGTGTACAATTCAATTTACAAACTAAGAAAGTCTCTACACCGTTTGTGTTTGAATCATATTATCCAGGTTATCCGGAAATGTCTTTGGCGTTAACTATGAGATAGGTAAGGCCGTTACTGTTTGCACAACCATGGAACCTCTTGTAAAATATGGTAGTTGTTTATTGGATGGTTTTGACTTGTAAATCTTCATAGGTTTTTGCGATGATGCTATCTCGCTGTAAACCTCGCTATCTAAAACTCCGGTATCTCGAATTTTTTTGTAATCCCGATCATTCAGTACTGGACTTACGTGTTAACCCTTTCAGACCCATAATTATTTAATGTAAATAAAAATTTTTTTTTTACATATTTACACTTACAGTACATTAATTAACATATTTGCAAATTTTCATTGTTTTTGCATTAATATCCTCAAAGTTATGGAATGGGTCATCAGAATAACCCATAGGTTTTTATGGAGCTTTAATTGTTAATGAAAAATATACATTAATATTATAAAAAAACTTGTTTTATTTGTGTACAAAAAAACTTGTTTTATTTGTGTACAAAAAAAAATTAAAACTGAAGTATATAAAACAATGTATTATTGTTAAATTCTTAAAACGTAAATGTATAATAAATAAAATAATATTAATAACAAACAACTCGTACTTACATAAAATAAATAAAGAATTAAAAATAAAATGTATACCTGTTAAGAATTCAAACGTTTATCTTTTTAGAATTTTTTTGAATACTTGATACGGTAAAAATAAAATGAAACTTAATTTTTTTTGTGAAATTCTGCAAAACAATTTCTATCTTTAGTTAGACACAAGTGAACATTGCATTTAGAACAGTAAAAATGGGTTCGATTGTTTCTAGAACACGTAGGATTTTTGCATTTTGCCGCGTTCTTCAACCAATCCATTTTTGGCATATGATCTATCCTATCATACCTTGACACATCAGGAGGCAATGAACTGTCAGTGCGATTAGTTGATTAATATAGAGGTGGAAAAGTAGATAATGATGAAGTTGGTGTTTCAGAACTGTAAGAAAGTTTAGTTGGGCGTCCTACTCTATTTTTTTTTCATTGACGGAGTCTGTAGAGTAGTACTAATCATTTCTTCAGCTAACTGAAGCCGAAAATGTAGAAAATCCAAAATTTTTTTTTCGGTAAAAGTAGTTCCTCAGCTTCCTTCTTGTACTGTAACCATGAATTACTTGCTACTAAATCAAAAATCATTCTAAGCGTCCATTTACTAGATTTGATAAAAGTCCTGTACAAACTAATCATTTGGTCCGATTTGTCTACACCACCCATACCGGCATGGTAAAACTTTACAATCTCTGGCCTTTCAACTGTAACGTACTGTTTTAGTTTTCTATCATATCGTTTTACATAATCAGGTGTACCAGATGTTATAAAATTTGAGGCTAATGTTACTGATTTATTGTTGTACCATTTTACCAAACATATGGCACAAGCATTTTCGACATTAGATTGTATTTCATACGTCGATCCTCTACCCATTTTTGACATAATTTTATCACTCAATAAAGGTGGATTCACAAAACGATTTATTCTGACTGTTCCTGATGCATATATACCGAGATTATAAAGTCGCTCAAATAATGAATAAGTGGAAAAAAATTATCAAAATATAAAAATGAGTTTTTTCTTTCAAAGTTTATACTAAAAATAAAACTACCGAAGTTCCAAATCCAAATGATTTCAATTGGTTTTGATCTAATTCTGTTGAACTGCCTTGGTATAGTATAAAATCATATATAATTCCACACTCAGACGTCAAAACAAAAATTTTAACGCCCCAAGGACTGGGCTTGTTTCTCATATATTGTTTTACCGATAATTTGTCTTTGAACGGCACCGTTTGCTCATCGACACACACATTTCGAACTTTCGATAAATTATTACATTTTTTTCTAATTTGGTTATACAAGTGTCGAACTTTTATAAATTTATCTACATTATTACGAGGTACATCTAAATTATTAATTATATGTAAAAAACGATCACGGGACATAGAATTTGA